ATAATTAAAAGACGTAACTCTTGTAAATTCAGTTCCATTTTTTTATGATAGTTTACATATTCAACAAGCGTTAAATAGAGAACTATTAAACACTATAATGCAACTGTCTTGTCCTAGTCTACAACTTAACATCAGTCCTAAACCATAATCTCATATAAGATTATTTACAGTACCTTTAATTGAATTTTAAAGGGCTAGAGACGGTAGTACATTCATCAGCCGATGAGTCCCAAATGGGATAAAATAAGCGTCCGGTATTCCACTTTTACACATTCCATATATTCTGTATCAAAAGTATCTCTACGTTTTGCGATAAAAGTAATATCAGCGTACTACTAAGTTGAAATTCAATTATTCTTAATTTTCAACCTATTTTTTGGGATATACAGAAATCAGTATCTGATGACGTTAATGGGTAACTGCTTAGTTGTCGATTTGGTTGTTTATATAATCATAGTTTCATACCAGGAACTACTGAGCATATGTTTATTACTTTTTTAAGGTAGTTTCCTCTCCACTTCACACCTAACAAATTTCCAACTGGAAGAAATCATGTACATCCAAAATATCTTATGGATCATCCACCAAATGTTATACAGAAAATTTGTTTTATGTCAGTATAACAATGAGTAATCGATGGAAATCATACTTCTTCTTTGCATTGGATAACACAAAAACAGAACTAATGATAATTGTAAAAAATAGAAAATTTGTGTTATATTTTTAAATGTGATCAATAGGATGTTTAATTACTTCAGATGTTTAATTTATTATTCCAAGAGAACTCCAGAACTATTTAATGGAAGAAATTTAACAGAAAAACTAGGATGTAAATCTATGACAAACAATAAAGTGGTAAGAGGTATGGGACTGACTGGATTGTACGATCATTATTTAATATGGGATTGCGAACTGACAAAAAAAATCCTTATAGAAAATTATTTCTGTCCATGAAACACATCGACTTGTATTTCTCTCGTACTTTTTAGCTCATTTTTCTAGAGATTTTTACAAAAATTAGTATTCAGTAAATAAATGATAGAATTCGAGGAAAAGCACTGGATAATTGTTAGTCCGCTAGCCTATTCTTTTATACGATATTTTTGGTTTAGGCTAAAGCCAATCATATAAAATGTGGTATTTATCTGTAAGGGGGAGAATTTCATGATGAGAGGAGCATTTGCACGGCAGTCCATACCTTTCTTCTTTCTTTTTAGACTCCATAATTATCGGGTAATTTAGAATAAAATGATAGGTAAATATAATCTATTCTTACTAAATAAGATTTTCTGTGAATGTAACATAGAAAGTTGAGTCTCTACAAAGAAACTATAAAGTACTGTAACACTAGAATCTCTTCGGGAATTTAAAAGTTTGTTAGTTTTCAAACGATTATTTTTTGGATAATTTTGACTAATCGACGGAATTCTTAATAATAAACAGATTTATCATATCATACATCATATGTTCATCATTAAATCCAGCTTTAAATCAACTAATTGTCCTAAATATTAAATCATTAATAATATGAGAATAAGATATGAACTTGAAAGTCGTACAATTAGATTTGTCTTGAATATTTCAATGAGCCCATTTGAAACCCGACAAAACCTACTTGTTTTGTCCATATGAGAAATCCCAGAAATTGAAGTAAAATGGCATACTGAATTCAAAATACAAGCTGAGTGAAGAAATATTACTGTTCAATTCGTTTTTTATCAAGGCTCTACACTAATATATATTCAGGCGAGAAACACCGCCTTCCAGAGATTATTGCACTCATCTTGAATCAGTATTTATGTCTATGGTCATCTGTCTATCGGTCAAAGACATTTTACATTTACCCATAGTAAGGAGCTTCAGATGACGTGTCTCAAAATCACTCACGATGGACCACGCGCATTCACTCTTTATCTTCCTTTAGATCAGAAGTTTCCTAATTATCTTAAAAAAAACATAAATACTCTACAAATTCATATTTACTCAAATAATATGATTTATGCTTAATCTCTAACAACACTAATAATATTACTACATACGCTGATATCTTGTGCTGTTGTAATTTGCGTACAACCGGTTGACATTCATAAGTTTACTAATTTTGTAACATTAAACATACTCGATAGACATTCCATGAAAATTTATTGGTTATACTTATTGGTATTAACGGTCGAGTTATCTACCTAGATATTCCAAAGGATGTGGTCTTCCTGAAATTATCATACAGAATTCCTAATTCAAAACTCTTGATCATATTACTGATACAGGCCCGTTACTCCTCTCAGGCCATAAGCCAAACTGATCATACATTCAACACTAATTATGATAGAAGTCGTGCACATCTCGGTACTGTACTTGTTCATTATTGAGCTCATGATTTAAATCTTATCATTAATTCCAATAACAATGTTTGATTCCGACCCCAATAAATATTAGCATCTATTAAACTTACGCATAGTAAAAAATTTTCGAGTAATTACTAATATTGGTTGTTTAGCCTTTGGAATTAATACCATTCACGTAGCGATGTTACTGAATAGATCTATAATTATCTAAACACTGAATGAGATAAGGCTAAGCTATTTACTGCAGGGTTGTACTTTCTTATTATTTATATTCAAGAGTGAGGTAATCAACGTGGTTTGGTTCAGTGGCCCGTATAAAAGAAAACTGGACGAATGCTCACGACTCCACTTGTGATCGATCCCCAGCGAATCTCCTTATTGTTATGCTAATCAGTTTCATCAAATAGATTTAAGGTATTGAATTCAATAGCTACCTCGTAATCATTGTTATGAAAACTTCTCGTACTGACCGAAAGTGGTTATCATTAACGAAACTTAGTAATCCAATATGCCGTGCAGAGAGCCCATGATATTTATATTACAGTCGAAATGTTACCAGTAGGCTCATCACCAAGGTTAATAAACCGCGCTAAGTAGGTTTCTAGGCGAAAATTTTTCCACGTTCTTTTTCGTAAACACATGATTTCAACCATTAAATTATAGTACAGTACCAGGTGAACATCCTATTTAATTGGTAACTAATTTCTTATCATGAACTAACACTAAGGAAACCATTCGATTTCATGGAGCACCAAACGTGTCTTCCGCACCCGCTTAAAACTCCAGTAGTTCGAGAGCATTTCATCACACGGGATCAAACTGATCACACTCAGGCATCACAAGTATGAGTAATGGCTGATTAGTTATATGAGAAATTTGAACAAAACATCTAACTACTAGTTTCTTGTTTTCAGACTGTTTGAACCCTACTCTTCTGGTAAGCATCGTCTTTGAAAGCCATTGTGGGAGGTTAAGTAGTAGTCGCAATAACATCAAAAAGATAAACAGCTGGTTAGCGCTAAATCTGGTTTTCCTCATGAGTCTGGGCACAAATGTAACACGATAGTGACGCTTGGTAAGCACAGACATAGTTTTGTGTTTGTGTGAAATTCATTTTATTAAATCTAATAACATCTGTTCCTTCAAATTCCGGCAAACAGTGTAGTTCTTACTGATGACGAAATAGTAAACATTCCGACACTGGTTTAACTATTTTTGCCTAGCCTCTAAGTTAGAAACACTAACGCATGAGTTATCACACACCCAATTTCGAAAGATGAGGCACTAAAAATGTCTTCAGGGAGCAATATCGAATAGATTTTTGAGTCTTACCCGCAGTGCAGAATACCTGTGCGAAACTTGTGCACCCGTAACGCAACAGATGATCGACGTCCGAAACAGACCCGCCTAAACACGTTTACCAGGACTACAGCCTTACCTGATGAATTGTCCAACTTCGTCTGTAGCCTATTTTACTGGGAATAACCCTTGTGATATGCAATGCAGCGAACGGCAGGTAGTTAAACGCGACAGAACATGGGAATCCTGCCTTCAGAAAATTACATCACTTGCGGTTTGTGATATCCTACAGTAACCTGCTAAGCATGGCCGAGTAAATGGGATCTCAGCTTACTTCAGTTAGACTGAAGTAATCCCGATAAAACCACTGCTAAGTAACAAACTATTCGTGGAATCAGGACGACTACCATCAAAAACTACTAGAAGCTTATAGTCGACTGTCATCTGCTTTTGCAAACTCAAGTGGTGTCCGTCAAGACTGTTCACTTCCTCTATTTTTGTTTAACTTCATCATAGACATACTGATGGAAATAACATTCTCGTCCACCGAATTCTCAGGCGTTGATCTCCTTACAGGAGGTCCACTTATCGACTAAGAATACGCAGATGACATAGTCCTATTTGGTGAAGACGCTGATAAAATGCAGTCTTCTGGTAGCACTAAGCAACAATGTCAGAATGTTTGGAATGCGCTTCTCTCCCTCTAAATGCAAGTTGTTGCTTCAGGACTGGTCTGCGTCAACACCTGAACTAAGAATAGAGAGTGAAGTAGTCGAACGCGTTGACAACTTCACTTATGTTGGGAGTCTGATCAGCCCTAATGGGTTGGTGTCTGACGAAATCTCTGCACGGATTGGAAAAGCTCGTCTAGCTTTTGTTAACTTACGTCACTTGTGGCGAAGGCGAGATATCAGTCTATCAATTAAGGGACGAGTATACTGCGCGGCAGTTCGTTCTGTTTTAATTTACGGTAGCGAAACATGGCCACTAAGAGTAGGAGATACTCGTAAGCTACTAGTATTTGACCACAGATGCCTTAGAAATATTGCTCGTATCTGCTGCGATCACCAAGTAAGTAATAGTGAGGTTAGACGTAGGGTATTAGGGAATGATGGTAAATCAGTTGATGAGGTTATGAATCTTCACCGGCTGAGATGGTTAGGCCACGTGTTATATATGCCTGAACACCGATCACCACGATGCGCAATGCTAATCGGTGTTGGAAATGGTTGGAAGAATGTTAGGGGCGGCCAAATCGAAAAGTGGCATCAGTGCCTGAAGTCACTAACTTCTAGTCTGAGCCATGTTGGTAGATGCAGACTACTTGGTTGGAGTCCGCGCAACTATCATAATCAATGGTTGGAGACTGTGGGTGACATGGCTCAGAATCGATCACAATGGCGTCGGTGTATACACTCTGTCCTCCCTTAAACTAAGAGATTAAAATTGCTTCATATATTTCTTTCTACGAACTAATTATTTCTTCCTGTACTATATCCCTATTGCAATCTTTCTTTTATATATTACCACCACTGAATTAACTACTTTTATGAATCCGGTGCCCATCATATTGTGTTAATGAGGTATGGCAACTTGGACCGATGCATATGTGCCTGATCCTGCATTGTAGCTGACTGAAAAGCCAGATCAACAGAGGCTACTTTTGACGAGTGGAACCAAACAATTGTTAGAAACGCTCAGAAGAGGTAAACATCCCGTCTATTCAAAAATGGTTATTGCGATGACGATGTCTGTAAAAAGGGAACCTTATTTGATGGCATTCAGCAAGTATTGAGGATGTCATGCATCTCAAAGACTAAGGCACAAAAACTCGGATGGTATTACCTTTCCTTTAATTTTATTATCTAAACAGCAAGTCTAAGATGGGCACAAAGGTCCACAACAATCAAATGTATAGCGAACTACAAACTAAGTAATAACTGAAGTCACGAATATGTCCTGTAAACTGTTATTGAACTTTTGCGACTGCTGAAAGTTAGTTAGGTGGACCACCACCACACGTCCAAAGGGTAGGACGAGTGACAATTTGATGGAAACACATACTTTAGGACCACGTAAGCCCTCTTAAACGAAGTCCGATAATCAACACTTGTTACTTTACACTGGCTGCTAAGCAAAATAACAGAAGAAACCAAACAATATTTGATTGATATGTGATAGAGAGAACTGAAAAGTAAGTGGGCAGATTAACGCTTTATTCGTTATCTATCGATTGACAAAAAGTGACTCGGCTACAGTTGAAACTACTTCACTATGCATGGTCAACTTTATGCATGTGCGTGATGAGATCAACTACGCGACAACTGTATCCAAACTCATTATCGTACCTACATGAAATAAGTTAGGGAACAAAAATATATGAAGACATACCATGAAATTAATTTCACGAAGTTGTCGTTAAGAGATATCCCAGCCTTCGCATCAAATATGGATGAACTGCTATTTCCAATAAAGTCTGAACTGACGACCTCATCATCACTGTATTCCAAAATCCCCTTCATTGGTCCAGATGCAGCTGCTTTGACCACAGCCTTAATTTGATCATAGGTAGCTTTCTTCCCTAATCTGCATGTCAGATCAACGACTGAGACGTCCGGTGTCGGTACGCGAAAAGCCATTCCCGTCAATTTTCCATTTAATGCTGGAATGACTTTTCCTACAGCTTTGGCAGCACCAGTAGAAGCTGGAATGATATTTTGCATCGCTCCACGACCATCTCGCCATAATTTTGAAGATGGTCCGTCTACAACCTTTTGCGTAGCCGTAAATGAGTGCACAGTGGTCATTAAGCCCTCAACTATTTCGAAGTTATCATGAATAACCTTAGCCAGGGGTGCTAAACAATTGGTTGTACATGATGCATTAGAAACCACAGACATTGACTTATCGTACGAATTTTCATTCACACCAACAACGAACATGGGTGCGTCTGCAGAAGGTGCAGATATTATAACCTTTTTAGCTCGATTATTTTCAGTATGAGCCTAAGTGAACACTAGATAATACAATAAATGATATTACTTTAGCTGCATCAATGGTCGTAAAGACTCCAGTGGACTCTACGACATATTCAGCCCCGTCCTTATCCCATGGGATGTTTCTTGGATCCCTTTCGAAATGAACAGATATTAATTTTCCATTGACTTTTAATTTTCCATTTTCTGCCGACACCTCGCCTTGAAAATTCCCATGGGTGGAATCACGTTTAATCATGTACACCATGTACTCTAAATTTATGAAGGGGTCATTCACTGAAACTATATCCACGGTGTTCTTGTGGAAAGCTGCGCGGAGCACAAGTCTCCCGATACGACCGAAACCGTTAATACCAACCTTTGCTCTCGACATTTCGGGGAATATCGTACGTGACTTTGCTGATGGTTCGAGCAGCAGTATTTATAACTTAGGTCATTAAAACAAAACCAGGGGTTAAATATTACTGAACATCTTTTTCGTACATGATAATATTGTTTTTTGCTTGAAATGTGAAGTAAAGTTATCTAAACTAAAATAACTTCCATATTCTTCTTCAGCGCCTTAAGTCATGAGATACTGGTTATCCGGTAGATTGTAGTGGTTACAGACAATCATCGAATATAATTAAGTGGGAAATAATTGAAATATATATCATTCAATCTAAATAACGGCGGTTGCTGAGCGGTTTTTTATTATCCTTTGACAAAACTGGAATCTCTAAGCGAGCAATCAGAGCACAATAAACTTTCCGGTAACCAGCTGTTATATCCAGTAGTAGCAGTAAATAAATCCCCAAAACCAATAGCTCTGTAAGTCTTCAACATTTGATGCTGACCATATTAGTTCTGATGGACTCAACTAGCTAAAAGCACTCGGCCGCATGTCCACACCAACTGCTCCTGCAACCGCTAACCTGCTCGCTTCTGACTTCTGATTTCACTGGGTGGACATGATTCAACTATAGAAGGTATTAAAGGTTGGAGTGTTGTCGAACTACAAATACTTGTGGTATCTTCACAGTAAAAATGATCACATGTTCTTTTAGTTAATGATCAAAATGTATAAAAATGGAGTAAGAACCAAAATGGTTTTGATAGTTTGACGAAAATATAACCTTCAACCCATGAAAAATCATTGTTTCCTTTCTCAATAATTAAGTCAATGAAAAATCAATATTCTCCCGCCGGATTCTGGGGTCAGCCACAAACTTTACGATTGCGATTTGTTCCGCCTAGCAGCAGTTAGTGTTGTTGAACGCTCATGTAATTGATAACAGCTTTCGGACAAGTAAATTATTTCGGACTTTCCACTCGCTTTATCATTCGCACTTGTGAACTTGTGATGTGCGTATAAGAGTGTGTAGCCACATTCTTGCTTGTGTCCACAAATGCAGAAGCATGTCCCAGCCGGTTTGAGTTGGCACGTTTACCTTTCCGTTTTTACATCAAAATATTTTCTGTCCATGTTAAAGAATTTCTGAAATAAATTCCCCCAGCTTAATTTGTTTTACGCTTTTTATTGCCATCATAACATAGACAGGGTTAACTTAAGTAAAACATGAGAAATAAAACTGAGAACTTACGTTTATGGCTCGATTGTCACTTGCCCGTTATATCAACAAATGGAATCATACAATGGCCCTTTTTGTGTAAGAGCTCTTAAGGCTTTAACCGCTCACTGATCCGATCCCAGTTTTTATCGGCTGATGATATCAGAGTAATATACCTGTGAGTTACCCTCACATATGATTGTCGACTCCATTAACTTTAAAGGATAACGTAATAAAATAAGTCAAATATGATAACGCAAATTTATTGTATTTTTCATACACTTGTTACTCCAGACGGGCAACAAAACAAACGAAGCGAAGAAGCAGATCTCAGAAGGGTTGGTATGTGAACAAACTACCGATAAAATAACACGATTTTAACACGTAAATTTGCTTGCAGTACTGGCTTTGCTGCTTGCGCCGGATTCAAGAGACTTAGTCGTTCGAGTTTCTCGATGACCAAGTCAGCTCCGTTTAGTTCGTAAAGTTCGAGAAGTTCTTTGTCGGCGTAGTTTGCAGATTGAGCTAAGTTTGAAGAATAGCTCACTAGTCCTTCGGTTGTTATTCTTTACAAGTAACACTCGTTTCATAACATTTACCATTTTAAGCAAAGGTGAGCGGTGGTCAGTAGTGGAATCCGAGATGTGCGTTTCACCCTATTTGGGACTCGTCATCTGGATGTACCTGGATCAACATAGTGTTATTATATTCTGGGTACATTATTGACCTTGCTTACTGCGTCTTGGGTAAATCATTTTTATGGTATTCACCTCAAGGCATGAAACCTAGTTTGGGATTTCTCATGCTCGTATTCCTAATCGTCACAATGGCCCCAGACGACCCAGAACGTCACGAAGCACTCATGGAAGCCTACCGTTCAAAAGATCTAGCACCTGACCACGAGAATCTGTACACCCTAATTGGCGTTCATTATACATCATCTATGATAAGTTGTCCCGAAACTATTGGAAATCACGCTGATTTGTAGTGACAGTGGGTCCTAACCACAATCCTCAAAGCTGAACATAATAACTAGGAAAATAGACCTTCAACATGTAACACTAAGAGAAGATCAATAACGGTAAACGCGGTAACATTTATTCGAAATTGAATTAATCGGGTGGCATGGCTCGAACTCGCAGGCGTGGTCATACTTATGTAAAATAAATTTCAACCGTATTAAACATATTGTTCTATCTTCAGCCTAAACTTGTTCTTCATCATATATTGACGATTGTTACAATACGATGAGTCAGGGTAGACAATGATGATCTTATAGATTAGGCAGTTACATCATGACAAATCCACGATTTTAGGATTAGGTCTGTTATTGAAGCAGTACAATATCGAAGTAGACCATAATTCTACAGGAACATTCATCGATCGGATGGTATGGCCAAGCCTCTCAAAAGTCGCTGTTCTTTATAACTTGTCTTTGCTCACAATAAATATATTATTCGATCTTTAGACCAAGTGTGTTCTTCAAAATCACCAGATGTTATATTGCTGATTCTTAAGATATGATGAGTCAGGTTATACAAAGATGGGACTGGCACGTACAATCTCATAGATTAGGTAGTCACATCATGAAAAATATACAATTTTAGGATTGGGTCTATCACATAGCAGTACTGATAATGAACCTAGATCACAACATTACATATTATCCAACCTCAAACTAACTGCGACTAATCCTCCAGAAAACATTTTCGCCGAGATAAGTTAACGGCAACCGTAGCTGCTGAATGTAATCTCTTGTTATGCATTACGAATGTGATGATGAATAGTTGCAGACTGGTTTTCACAGAAGTTAGCATCGTTACTGTAGCATCAAAAGATTGTCAGCGAGATTTGTTTTCAGTTTGCAGGAGTTTCATAGAAAGCCTATCGCGACATAAGGTATGGGATGCTTTTATCTTAACCTGGTTCCGGATTTTGGTTAATTCAGAGGTTTTGATGTACAACATTGCCACAGACTTCATAAGATGTCACAACCTACTTGTAGACCCGGTCAAACGAGGGTTAGTATTTTAAAACACTTAGCCATGTATTCGAAGAGGGTCATTCACTGATTCCACGTTATCACACGTCTCAATGAAACCGACAGTCGTTCTGCACTTTTAACATTAATTATTTAATATATATTTCCAAATAACAGTATGTTACAGGAGGTAAACCAGTTTCCAATCAAGATCAAACAGGTACAGATGATGCAAGCTTCACTCTAATAAATTACTCAGGTTGATGTTATAAGGCATATTCGTAATACGATCAGAGGGAAAACACTTGTCACACATAAATATGAATAATGTTAATAAGACTCGTATTGCCAACTTTAGAGTTTGCACGCTCTATGGCGCTTGTGTTGAGACGTGTCATTGATGATGGAGAATGAATCTACGCAAAGTTGGGGGCATCTAGAAAACGTAACCCTATATTCCCCTAAAATATTTGAGGTGTTACGATGACTCAGGACGAAGTTACATGCTCCATATGTGTTTTCAGTGGCACATCATAAGGGTGATGAAAATGAAAGCAAAAAAAGAAAAGATGAAAAGTACAACAGACAGTATTCTTGAATATTGAGATTGAGTCATTTGTTATGGAATAATAAGGGTATGACTACATAGACTTGTTCTATTTTATTAAGTCAATTGCGATAGGCTAAAGAAAGCAAGCCTAAGTATAGCGATGGATGAACGGAGAATTGTATAAATGGAGTTGGTTCAAAAAGAAGCTAATATTTTAGGATTATGCGTAATTTCAAAATACAGTACGAAAAACACAGTTTTTGAGCGCACCGAAAGATATTTTTTATTCGTCAAGGCTATTTCAGCTCATTTTTATTATTACAGATTTTGTAGGGTCATTAGTAGACATTCGTTTTATCGTAAATATCTAGTTTGATTTGTGATAAAATTTCTCGGCGGGAAGTAAAACCAATGCAATATTACAAACATGATTCAAAGAGGTATTTGACGTAAGAAGTTAGCATCAGTACCATTAGTTGGTTACATCCTGCTAGACCATAAGGAGCAGCAGTTTAACAAAATGTTCTGCCCTACAGACATGGGTGAGTTGAGTTTATCTTCTAACCATCAAGCTTGCTGATCGGTAACGCCATCCTCCCTCCTTTTGTGATGTTGGGCTCTCTTACGTTTAAGGTATGAGTGAATCCAAGCTTTATGTTGCACAACTTGTTGGAATACACTATATCTACTGGCTCCATGTTACAAGTACATCAGACAAATAAAGCGTCAGTATCGTTGGATTGATATCCACTTCGTGTATCACAGTGCTATGAAGTGATCTTGTAGAATTATGGTCTACTTCGTTATTAATACCTCTCTAATAATAAACTTATTACAAAAATTGTGCATTTGTCAAGATATAACTGCCTAATCCATAAGATCATTGTCTACAAAAACTCATCCCATCGTAACAACCATCAGTATATGATGGAGAACAAACTTAGGCTACAGGTAGAACAATATATTGAATATGAATAAAAGACTATGTCACAACACTTAGGGTTGACCACGTCTGCAAAGCCAAGTCTATGCCATCCGACCAATTCGAATTAACTGAATTCTTTCTTCCCGCCTTCTCAATCGTTGTGTTTTTCTCCGCGTTAAATATTAAGGATTCATTTTCCCAGTTGTCTAGTGTTCAGCTTTAAGGATTGTGTGGTTTGGGCTCAGTGCCACTACACGCCCTTGATTCAGAGGCGTATCAACTATCGCTTCCATACTGCCGGATTGAGGAATAACCTACCTTACTAATCCTGAGATAGTTACTCAGTTTTCCAACTTGAAACCTCCTCGAAACATCAATTTGTTTAAGTGTAGCACAAACCTTTTTGCATCATCATCATTGGGAAGGGATACTAGACAGTCATCCACACAAAAGTTGGCTAGTACCGGTTCCTCTACGCTGCCATCATAGTCACTAGAGATATTTTGAACCGTATTTACAAATGCGGAATTTGAACAGAGGGGTGAGGATATAGCACAGAAGAG